AATGATCCTCCTGCCTCAGCCTCCAGAGTGCTGGGATTATAGGCATGTGCCACCATACCTGGTGCCTAGGCTGGACTTAAACTTGCCATCTTTCTGCCTCAGCCTTTCAGAGTGCTGGGATCACGGGTGTGGGCTGTCATGCCCAGCTTCCTTTCCCTCTTTTCTGTACCTCTCAGTGTAGTCCTTTTCTTGCCTGTGTAAGCCAGGCCACGTCCCACTGCCCTGAAGAGGGGCATTCATTGCTGCATCTGGGCTATTGTTCCTCCCACTTTTCTCAACACAGTGCAAAACTAAAGAACAATAACGATTCACTGAATCCTGGGAAGGATGTGCCATCAGATCCTACACCCATCCTTTCTTTTTTTTTTTTTTTGTCTTTTTGAGACAGGGTCTCAAAATGCAGTTCAGGCTGGCCTTGAGCTCACTTTGTAGCCCGGGCTGGTCTCGAACTTGCAATGATCCTCCTGCCTTAGCCTCCCGAGTACTGGGATTACAGGCATGTGCCACCATGCCCAGCTCTCCCTGCTCCTTCTCCTGTGTCTATCTGCTGACCTGCATGTTGACAATGGTTTGAATGGAACACCCAAAAGTTCACATGTTGGAAAAGTAACCCTCAAATCCATGTTACTGGTGTTTGGAGGTGGGGCCTTTGGGAGGTGATGAAGTCATGTGAGTGGGGCCACCATCACAGCATTAGTGGCTTTACAAGAAGAGAAGGAGCAAGCCAGTCAGCACTCTTGCTCTGTCTCACCACGGGGTACTGTCTGCCATGACACTGCTGGAAGGCCTTGGCAGATGCCAAGTACATGGCAGCCTCCAGAACTTTGTTTGTTAGCCAAACAAACCCATATTCTTTACAGATTACCCAGCTTATGCTACTAAGTCATAGCCACAAAAAGTAGACTAAAACATGGCCACTGTGCTGTCTCTCATTCATTGAAGATTTTCTTTTTGTGGCGCTGGGGCTTGAACTCAGAGCCTCACATATGCTAGGCAAGTACTCTGTTGCTGAGCGACATCCCTAGCCACTTTCCTCATTCTTGAGATGGAGTGTCACAAATTTGCCCAAATTGGCCTCAAACTTGTGATCCTCCTGCCTCAGCCTCCTGAGTAGCTGGGATTATGAGCATGCATTGAAGATTTGTAATGATATTCTTATTGCACATACCACCTACATTTTTCATATCTCTCTCTTTTTTTTTTTTTTTTTTTTTTTTTTTTTTGTGTCAGGGTCTCGCTATGCAATTCCAGTTGGTCTTGAACTTACTTTGTATCCCAGGCTGGCCTCTAACTCAAAATGATCCTCCTGCCTCAGCCTCCCCAGTTCTGGGATTACAGGCATGGGCCACCACGCCCCACTTGTTGGTTTTTTTGTTTGTTTGTTTGTTTTGGGGGTTTTTTGTTTTGGTCTTTTTTGAGAGAGGGTCTCGATACTGACATCTTTTTTGATGAGTTAATATCTTTTTTTTTTAACAGTACTAGGGATTGAACTCAGGGATTCACATATACAAACCAGGTGTTCCACCAAGTGCCTTTTTATTTTTGAGACCAAAAATAGAAAAGGTTTTACTAGGTTGCCCAGGCTGGGCTTGAACTTGCCTTAGCCTCCTGAGGAGGTGGAATTACAGGCACACATCACTGTGCCTGGCACAAGTTAACATCCTTAAAGGATCCCTCCGCACCCGGGCCACTTACTTTCCTGGTCCCTCCCTGTCAGTGATCTTAAGCGCCCTCCCTTCTGACCACCTCCTATCACTCCAGCTTCCTTCTTTTGTATCTGAGCAGGAGGCTGGGCAAAGACCCCTGTCCCTGCTGCCTGACTGCAGGTTAAATTTACGATCACGGGGGCTGGGGATTTAACTCAGCAGTACAGTGCCTACCTGGCAAGTGCAAGGTCATGAGTTTGATTCCTGGTACCAGAAGAAAAACAAAAATATAAATAAATTTATGAACACAAAACTCCATGCCCAGCAAGGCAACGCCACTTTTTTTTTTTTTTTTTTTTTTTTTTTTTTTTGGCAACGCCCTTCAGATAGTCATCTGTGCTCCATCATTTCCTCCACAAACACCAAGACCCTCCCTGACCTTGCACTCTGTTAATGTCGCTCCTTCTTTCCCTGAGACCCAACATCATGGCACTGTCTCTGAGCAGCATCTGGCACCTCCACTTGTTCCCTTCTCTTTGGAACACAGTCCAAGGCTCCCTGGGACACCACACTTTTTTGGTTCTGCTCTGCCTCAGCATCCCCCTTCCAGGCTGAGGCTCAGCCCTCTAGGCATAGCCAACATGGCTTTATGTACTCTCTATGTTAGTGACACCAATCTTAAATATGTGATTTAATTGACATACAATAATTCCATATATTTATGGGGCACCATATGACATTTACACACACACACACACACACACACACACACACACGATGTGTAATGATCAGTATACGTACTACCAAGGCAAGCATAGTGTATAATGGTCAGATCAAGGTAAAAATGGCATACTCCTCACCTCAAACATTTATCTTAGTGTGTGTGTGTGTGTGTGTGTGTGTGTGTGTGTGTGTGTGCACGCGTGCGCGCGCGCACGAGAATTATTAAGGATTGATCTCAGGACTTCCTAACTGAATTATATCCCCCAACGCTTTTTATTTTGAGACAGGGTCTTGCTAAATTGCCCAGGTGAGACTCAAACTTTGAATCCTTCTGCCTCAGTCTCCCAAAGTCCTGGTATTATAGGTATGTGCCACATACCTAGCTAAACATTTGTCTTTGCTTTGTATTGGAAATTTTTTTTTTTTTTTTGTCTTTTTGAGACAGAGTCTCCCTATTCAGTTCAGGCTGGCCTTGAGCTCACTTTGTATCCCAGGCTGGTCTTGAATTTGCAAGGATCCTCCTATTTCAGCCTCCCAAGTGCTGGGATTACAGGCATGCACCACCACTACCGGCAATGTCGTTCTATTTAGTGTGGCAGGTCCCGAGAATGAGATGCCCACGCATGAAAAGAAAAGTAAGGAGAGACAAGAAAAACAAGACAGACAAAGTTCTGGGATCAGGGGGTGCACAGCCTCTCGACTGCAACCTCGAATACCAATTTCAGTCACCTTTTATTGAGCAAGAACCAAGGGCATAGCTAGTACAAACGGGTGGATAGCAAATGGTTTAGAAGGGTAATGAAAGGATTATCCTTCTCCACATATAATCCAACACACACCTGAAATCCCAGCACTCAAGAAGTTGAGACAGGAGGATTGTAAACTCAAGGCTAATCCGGCCTGTATAATGAAGACTTATCTTGAGAAACTCTAACAAATAATAAACAAATCATTGTGTCTTCAATGCATTCTAATCAAAGAATGTCCTCCACATGGAAATCTTGTTTTGCCTTTTTAAAAAATCCCTAGCTGGGTCTGGTGGTGCACATCTATAATCCCAGCACTTGGGAGGCTAAGGCAAGAGGATTGTTGCGAGTTCAAGGCCAGCCTGAGCTACAGAGTGAGCTCAAGGCCAGCCTGAACTGCATAGTGAGACCCTGTCTCAAAAAGACCAAAAAAAAAAAAATTCCTAATATGATCCCCTTCCCAGACCATAGTGGTTCAAATTACCATCATTGGGGCTGGGGATTTAGCTCAGTGGCACAGCACCTGCCTGGCAAGCCCGAGGTCATGAGTTTGATTCCTGGTACCAGAAAAAAAACAAATAAAATGATGAACTGAATAAACTTTTCCTCCCAAGTGTTATTCTTGGGTGTTTTGTCATAACAATGGAAAGCCAACTAACATACTTTTTTTTTTTGTACCGGGAATCAAACTCATGACCTCAGGCTTGCCAGGCAAATGCTTATGCCACTGAGCTATATCCCCAGCCCATACTCTAACTGGTTTTCTTGCTCCAATTCCTACTTCTCTGTAGAGCTTCTACTACTGTATGTACTTCTCCAAACAGCCACCAGCATGATCTCTGGAAAACACAAGCAAATCAACTCATGTGTCTGCTCCCAACCTTCCAGTGGCTTCCTCCACATTTAAAATGAATTCCAGGGCCGGGCGTGGTAGCGCACGCCTTAATCCCAGCACTTGAGAGGCTGAGGCAGGAGGATCCTTGCAAGTTCGAGACCAGCCTGGGTTACAAAGTGAGCTCAAGGCCAGCCTGAACTGCATAGCGAAACCTTGTCTCAAAAAGACCAAAAAATAAAATATAAAAAATTAAAAATTAAAAAAATTTTAAAAAAACAACGAATTCCAAATCCCTCAGTAAGACCTTTTATAACTTGGGCCCCTACAGCCTTGGCAACCTCCATTCCCTCTCCCTGTATCCCACTCCCTCAATGTAGCCACGTTAGCAATTCTTGCTTCTTTTCCAACATACCAAGCATTTGCCCTTTTGCTCTCCTCTGCTTGAAGCATCTCTCCTCCCAGTGGTCCCCGTGGCTCCTTCCTCCCTTCATTCGGTTATCCGCACCAATGTCCACTCCACAGAACATGTTCCCTGACTGGTCTCTAGCCCTTTCTCAAGTTTATTTTGCCCTAGTTATATTTTGGTCTGAACACACCCTGCCTGAGCCAGGCTTTCAGTTCCTGACTTAGCCAACTAAAATTCAAGCTTTGAGAGCGCAGAAACCCTATTTACTGTAATGCTCCTGCTTCCTAGAACAGTGCCTGGCATACAGGAAGCCCTCAGAATACACGTGTTGAGTGAATGAATGACTTGTCAAATGCCACGAGCTTGGGGGGGGTCGGATTAAGTGATTGTCCAGTCGATTTCCTTAGCTATGTGCCTCCCACCCTTGTCAACTCTAAGGAGACAGAGACACCTCGTGGGATCGAGCATCTCCGGACCTTTGGTCCTCCCACCTAATGGGGGAGTCAAGGGTCCGCACTTTGAGTAGGCAGCAGGAGAGGCCAGGCGGCCCTCTCTATGGTCTCGCTCTCAGCGTCCCTCCTCCCAGGCACCCGGCTTGCCTCTATGGTTCTTCCTGTCCTTAGTCGGGAGGGGGCGCTGTGCGCAGGCGCGAGGTGACGCCGCGGCGGGGCCGGAAGGAGCGCGTCGGCGCCCTCGGTGGTAGCGGCGCAGCTGCAAACGTCGGTTGGGGGCGCAGAACGCGCAGCGCGGAAGCCGCCTTGCGAGCCGGTCAGTTGAGTGGTAAGTGGCCAGCGCGCGAGGCGCTCGGTAGACCTCGCGAGAGGGGTGTCCGCGCGCGCAGCCGGGTGGGGGCGGGGGGCACCGAGCTGAGGGACGCGAGCTGGGTCCCGAGGCGCGCGGGGGCTGGCGACGGCGACCAGCCGGCGGGGGGGTTGGGCGCCCCGGTCCCCTCTCGCCACTTGAGGAAGTTTCGTGGGCCGGCCTGTGGGAGTGCTGCGAGGCGGCGACACGCCGGGGAACCGACCTCCGCCGGTAGCCCTCGCTTGCTCTCTTCGGAGGCCGAAACGCGGCGGCGGCGGAGTGGGCGCTCAGACCTTGGCCTGTGGGAGCGGAAGGCGAGGACTGTGACTTTGAACTTCGGCCGCGGTGGGGGACGCGGCCGCATTCGCAGCCTTTGGGCACAAGTGGGCGCCTGTCACCCTGCACTCGCGAAGACACCCCGTGGGTGTCAGAGTCCCTTTGCAGCCAGAAGCGGGACCGGTGTGACCAGCGACCCCGCGGCCCTGGCACGTGCCATGGGTGACCCCAGAGCTGCAACCTCCGGTGTCTCCAAACTTTGCGCAACTTTCCTCCCTGCCGGTTTGCTGTGTGCCGGCCACGGTCCCAGAACCCTGAGGTCCACACCTCCACTGTGCTCAGTGCCAGAGTGGCTGTTGCCCTCGGTGTTTCAGTGTAAAGAGAAGACGCTTCGCTTCACTCTGCTGGAACGAAGGGGCGACGAGGCAGAAGATTTTACGCTGTAACATGTCTCAGTTGAGTGAATTTGTCCAAAAGACAATACCAGAGAAATAGCCTGGCCATTGGGGTTTGCACCCCAAATTTAGCATGCCGAGGTAGTGAGCGGTGGTGAATTCATTGCATGGGTTCTTTTTTTTTTTTTTTCCCCCGGTACCAGGAATCGAACTCACAACCTCGCGCTTGCCAGGCAGGCACTGTGCCGCTGAGCTAAATCCCCAGCCCCAGATGAAATTTTTTCTTTTGCATATAGCCTTGGGCAGTACATTTTGGCTACTTCATCCTACCTTTTTTTTTTTTTTTTTTTTTTGGTCTTTTTGAGACAGGGTCTCACTCTGCAGTTCAGGCTGGCCTTGAGCTCACTTTGTAGCCCAGGCGGGTCTCGAACTGGAACTATCCTCCTGCTTCAGCCTCCCGAGTGCTGGGATTACAGGTGTGCACCACCACACCCAGCGATCGGTGGTGAATTTGAGGAAATGGCTGGAGATCCTGGGCCTAGTCCCTGTAAAGGTCGTTAGAAGCTTTAGATTTTTATCCTGAAGGCTAACAGCAGCTAATAGAAGAGAACCCTGCTGGTGTGATGGCTCATGCCGCAGACTCCAGTGCTCTGGGAGGCTGAGGAAGCACCACAATCAAGCCCAGCCTAGGGGTCTTCGTGATAACTTATCTCAACATTTAAAAATGGCTGGGAATATACAGCTCAGTGCAAAGGCCCTGAGTTCAGCACCCAGTGATGCAAATAAAGAGTGGGAGGCGTGAAAAATCTAATAAAAGTTGTGGTATGGGCTAAGGAGACTGAAAGTTTATAAACTAGCATAGGTAAAAGGGCTTGCATTTGCTAACTGTGGTTTGAGCCGCTATTCAATGTGTTCAATACTAAAAGGCTTCACTGTAGTCTAGATTTTTTCTAGATGTAACTAATAGGTACATGAGACAATCACTTTATTTGAAGAAGACATACAAACATACTCTGAGCATTTTCCACATACTTTTTTTTTTTTTGGTCTTTCTGAGACAGAATCTTGCCATGCAGTTCAGGCTGGCCTTGAGCTCTCTTTGTAGCCCAGGCTGGCCTCAAACTCCCAGGGATCCTCCTGCCTCAGCCTCCCAAGTGCTGGGATGAGAGGAGTGCTGAGATGACAGGCGTGCACCACAACACCACAATGGCCTAGTCAATGTACTAGTTCTATGTGGTTGCTTCGGCAGCACATATACTAAAAAAAAAAAAAAAAAAAAAATACTAGCTCTGTTAACTCCCGCAGAGATGCAGGTTCTGTTGTTAATTTTCATCTGAAAAGAGAAAAAACAGGTGCCAAAAGGGCTCTTGTAGCATCTATACTGTAGTTTGTGTCTGGCAGTGGGCTGTGTCCTGAGGCCACAAAAGTGAAAATATATGGGCTTGCCTCCTTGGAACTTAAGGTTCTGGCTGAGGAGACCAGTATTAAACAGAGCTTTCTAAATAACTGTTACAAAATCAATATTTCAGAGAAATGAGGCTATATGAATGAACACGGTGAGGGAGGGGTACCTAGGCTGTCAGGTTTTCTCAGGAAATGAAGAAGTGGAGGATGAAGAGATACAATTTGGTCAAAGACAGAGCACTTACCTAGCCTTTGTGAGGCCCTGGGTTTGATCCCCACCACCAGAGGATTAAAAAAAAGGAATAAAAAAAGGAATAATCGGCCAGAGAAGAGCCTCCAGTGGAGGGAAAGAGCAACACACAGTCAGTGAGCCTGGCCACTGTCACGAGAATAACAATGGGGGAAGAAGTATGAAGGGACTTTGCCCATGTCCACTAGAGTCATACAGTGCAGTGTTTTATCATCAGTAGTAAGGATTTTCATTCTGCCATGGTAGGATTTGTGGTTTTAAAAAAACTCAGTGCAGAATGAAAATATCAAGGAGTAGAAGCTGTAAGCAGTATGGAAGGGCAGAGTGTCATGAGCTCATAGATGATTCAGTTTTTTTGTTGTTGTTTTTTTCCAGTACCTGGAATCGAACTCACGACCTTGCACTTGCCAGGCAGGTGCTGTGCTACTGAGCTAAATCCCCAGCCCCCAATTCAGGTGTTTTGTTTTGTTTTTTTTTTTTGGTACTGGGTATCAAACCCAGGACCTTGCATTTGCCAGGCAGGCACTTGTGCCACTGAGCTATATCCCAGGCCCGATGATTCAGTTTTAATTTTAAAAAGATTGTTTAAAGTATCATTTTACCCCCCTTGAATGAGGATTGTTTACTTATCTGTCCTAATTTGTAAGTCAATTGATGGTTAAAGAAAATAGTGTTTTGAAAGTTGTGAATGTAAATTTGTTTAAAACCTTGCCTATCATGGAAAGAACAACTTGTTTTAGAGCTCTTTTAAATTCTGTTAAACTCTAGACTAATTATTTACACAGTTAAATCTGTAATTTTGAATGTTATTTTCCGTATTTCACTTTATCTATTAAATTCTTTTTTTTTTTTTAGACGGTCTCGCTGTGCAGTTCAGGCTGTCCTTGAGCTCACGTTGTAGCCCGCACTGGTCTCGAACTTGCAATGATCCTCCTGCCTCAGCCTCCTGAGTGCTGGGATTACAGGCTGAGATTACAGGCATGCACCACCACACCCAGCTACTTTGTCTTTTAAAATGAACCCAGTAACCAAGCATGATGGTGCACATACCTGTAATTCCAGCACTGTGGGAGGCTAAGGCAGGAGGATCACAAGTTCTAGCCCAGCTTGGGCAACTAAGCAATTTAGCAAGACCCTGTCTCAAAATACAAAATAAAAAGGCTAGGCGTATAATGTAGTTCAGTACAAAGTCCTTGGGTTCAGTCCACAGTACTGCAAATAAAACATCACATTTTCTTATTCTGAACTCATCATTTCCCTCATTCATCCTTAATATTACCATCCTATAGTCACTTGATCTCAGCATCTGACTTTGTCTCTTACTTCCTCCTGCCCTGATGGCCAATTATATGCAGAAATCCCATCCAGCCAGGTATTGTGGCCCATGCCTAGAATCCCAGTACTTGGGCTGAAGCAAGAGGATTGCTGTGAGTTCAAGGCCAGCCTGAACTATGAACTACAAAGACCTTGTCTTTAAAAAAAAAAAAAAAAAAAAAAAAAAAAGTACACACAAAATTTCATTGAATAACTCTGCAATCTGTATTTTGTAATTTTTTTTTTTCTTCTCCTGCATACTGTTATCTGTGGAGTTCAGACTTGGCTGGCTCTTGTTTCCTGGGTTCCTTGGCACCAGATATCTTCAATAGGCTTTCTTCCACATTGTTAGCTAGGATGATTTTCCTAATACACAGCTCTCATTGCATTACTTACCACTGACTAGAAATAAAAATTTGAGCTCAATTTCATTTGTCTACTCAGCTTTCATAAACCCCCCCAAAACATGTTGGCTTAATACTCAAATTTTATTGGGAAGGGCTGAACTAGTAGTCAGGTTAATATTACTCCTTTGTTATTGCAGACTGATCAGGTCTGCAATCTCCCAAACGAGTGGAGGGCAAAGGCTAGATGAATGATTTCAGGACTCCAAGAGGATCAAACCCCTTTCACAGAATTCAAGATTCTCTGGGGGGCTAAGACGAAGATCTCTGGGAGACCCATATTTATTTAGTTATTGGAACAAAAGGGGAATACTCAAGAAGGGCAGGAACTCTCAAGTACTTCTCCAAGTAAGGTATTAATCCACCCAGGAATGAGATGCCTGAGGCTACAGTAGTCTTTATCTAGTTGAGTTTGGAGCCAGGTGTCCTGACCACATCTCATCCTTTGAGACTTCAGGGCTTCATGAGCCATTACAGACCTCAGTAGGAATCAGTGACTCACAGAAGTTCACTTACTGTGAGCCCACCACCCATTTCCAGACAAGGGCTTAGGCCTTGGACAGACTCACCAATAAATGTAGAAAGCCAGTTGGTTAATTTAAGTCCTGCTCAGAGTTGCTTCGTAGTGGTCTCCTTCACTTTCCTCCTTTAACCTTGAGTGTTGGGTATTTTGCCTCAGCAAGGAGAAAACTGAGAAAATGATTTGGCAAAGGCAGCCTAAGCACTCTGGCCATGGGAGGTGAAAATGCAACTTTGGAATTAGAAGATTGGGCTGGAGAACTGAGTGATTCCTTTTCCTAACTTCTCTATTTGTGAATTTCTTTATACTAGGCATTATTTGATTTTTCGGGGGGGCGGTGTTTTTGATACAGGGTCTCACTTTTTTTTTTTTTTTTTTGTCTTTGAGACAGGGTCTCCCTATGCAGTTCAGGCTGG